AAGTGTAATTTAGACAATAAGCATAAATTACATAGTTTATTTTCAGAAGATCCAAGTCAGAATTGTTTAGTGGACTTAATTTTAAATTTATCAAAAAATTTAGAATTAGAAAATAAAAAGCAAAATAGTTATCTAGAAATTATAAAAGAAAATATTATAGTCAGAGATCAAGAGATTAAAAATATAAAAGAATCTTTAGATTATATTAAAAATCAAAATTCAAGTATTTTAGAAAAACTTGTTAAATTAGAAAAAATACCATCTAAAGTAGATTTAACAGAAATAAAAAGAATTTTAGATTCAAATAAATCTAAAGAAATCTACATCAAGTGTAGAAAAAGACTTAAAATCACTAACAAACACTTTAGAAAAACTAAGTTTTAAAGAAACAGGAAAAGAAAAGGTAACTAGAAAATTACTTAAAGAATATAAATTTTCAAGATGAACACAAATTATTTCTTAGGAAGATCTAGAACAATAAATGAAGAATCATCTACATCTAGAAATAGTACTTCAAGCATAAGCAGAAATAGAATAGAAAAAGTTTTAAATAGATCAGTACAATATAATCAAAATATAGAAGAAATTATAGATCCTCAACAAGATTATTTAAGATTTCAAACAAATGGATTAAGAATTCTTAACCCAGAAATATTATATAATAGAGGAATTTTTGAAACAAAAACATAATTTTTTAGACATAGTAGAGAAGTATCTGTTCAGTGTATAGGAAATCAGGTAAGAAAATTGAATTTAATATCAGAAGACTCTAAGAGAGAATTAAAAAAGAAAAATTTTAGATTCATGCTCTTAGGATTAATAGTTATAGGAATAAAAGGATTAACGAGAAAAAATTTAGGATGCAAGGTTTTAGTTACTATATATGATGAAAGAATTAATAATATAGATAAAAGTATGATTGCTAGTACAGAAGTTGATATGAATAATAATAATGGTATAATTTATTGTAATCCAGATTTTTTATTAACTATTAAAGATTTTTCAGAGAAAACTAAAATAGGAATTCAAACAAAAGGATATGAAGAGGTAGAAAGTGGAGATAATTTACTAATTAGTATAGGATTCTTAGGAAGATGTTCAAATAACTCTCAGACAAAATACAAGATTTACATAGATAAAGTAGTAAATTTAATGAGTAGTAAAGGAATTAATATGGTTAAACATAAAGAATACTCATCAGAACAATTAGCAGGATTAGAATAGGATATGGATAAATTTTTTGAAAATCAAGAAACAATTATAACACCACAGGAAGCATTAACTTATAAAGATATTCATGGAAGATTACAATCAAGTACAGAGGCAGAATGATTTTGAAGAAGAAATCAATCCTGAAGATGAACAAAGTTAGCCTGGGTCATTACAAAAATCTTGATAGACAAATATTTAGAGCAAAACTATCAACTGGATCAATACTAAAGGGTTTATCTTTTTGTTTGAGAAGTTTATAACTAGACCTTTCCATATATTACCTTACTGGACAACTTGCAGAAGGGAAAAATATGATGCATACGGAACTCAAAAGGCTGAATGACTGAATCCAATGGTTTGTCAGATACTATTCCTACTGCTGAAAATTTCTCTCTCTTGAAGATAATGTTGTTAAGTGGCACAGACAATATTCTTTCTGAGATACAGAGATTAAAAGAAATCTTCTAGATAGACTTCAGTACAAATAACCGAATCCCTCCAGATATTGTTAATTGTCTTTCACTGACTCCCTTGGATTTAAGCCAAAATCAACTCACTGCCTCAATCCCAGTTCAAATTGCAGAAACTCATCAAATTACTTTCTCGGAAGCTCTTAAGCCTAAGTCTTCCAAAAGAAATTGGGTTAATCAAGAACCTAAAATCAGCAGATTTATCGCTCAATAATTTCAGTAATTCAGTATCTGGAACTGAACATTATCAATTCTTCAAGGATCTCACTCTTTCTGGCAATCCTATCTCTGGAGATTGAAATACATGAAACTACATTGGAACCACCCTATCAGATTTTAATACCTAAAGAGACAGTGAAGAGGTTCCTGGAAAAAATAGGCACTTTATTATTTCATTGGACCTTCAGGTTGTTCCCTCGTTTTACCCCTTCTAATTATAACTAAGACCCAAAAATGTAAGAAAGCGATCAAATCAATTGGGGGTGGGGGGGTGGAAGATAATGGGAAGCTTCCCGCTTAAATGTAAAAACCAAAAAATAAAAAAAGAAGAAGAAGGGGAACGAAAGAGGATGTATTAGTAGTCCTTTTCAGGCCGCCCACCGCCGACTCAAATGGAAGAAGGTAGAAGAGAACGTGAGGGTAGAATTGTCTTCTCATAGAGTCAACTTAACACACCATCAGTGATGTGGGATGAACATATCGTCAAGCTAACAGCATTGTGGATGATGGCTAAACCCCCCCCGGTTAGGTTGGCTGACTGTGTGCCACATTAATGCTCTATGTAATAGGGCAATTGCTAATAAGTTTATATTACGGCCAAAAGAAACACCAATGCAAACTAAGGCTTGTGATACGCTTTTATCAAACATGGCAATATCCGTTGATGGAATATTTGACACAGAAGGAAGCCAAACTACAAGAGCAACTAACACTCACCATTGAATATGCAACGAAGAAGGATGAATACAAAGTGGTGAAAGTGATGTGATGCAACATGCAGTAATAAAACCTGATAACCGGAGCAGCAATTAAATGCTCCGGTACAGTATCTAACTTACGGAAGTATGTTGAGCTAGAGTGGTCAACTCTTGAATTGTCATTTTGGCCTCTTCTCTTAATTGTTTGTGAACATCCGGATCTGAATCCAACCTAATATGTCAAAGAGTCATTTTGGTGAATATCTTTCTTCCACTTCTAAAGACAGGCTAACTTGCAAAATATTTGAAATATATTCCCAACTCACTTTGAAAAGAATCTATCGAGGTTGTGAAATTGTGCATCTTTACAGAGATTTCCAAATCTGATAACCTCGCGAGAGAAGACATCAAATTCCTCCCTACAGAATACAGAAAAAAATTGTAAGGTTTAACAGATGAAAACCAATTGAAATTTATTTGACAAAGAAAGAACTGTAAAAAAGAAGAGGAAAGGAAAGGAAGAAGAAAGGAGAGAGTTCATGCAAGATTGGTCTACATCCTAGCCAAAGAACTCATTACCTCTTGTCAGCAGCTGCAATTCTAAGCAGCTCATTCATATCTGTAGAAACCAACTTTTGTACTCCTTCTGTATGTAAAATTTCCTTGCGCAAAAACTGAATATTTTCTGCAGAAAGAGATTGCACCAAGTTCGCACCTTTGGAAATAGTATTTGCAACTTCAAATGCCAATATAGATATTTTATTTCCCCTCGAAGCCAGACCAGTCGTAAATCCACCAGAGTTCAAATTAGTCATGCTGCTGCCTAGAGTATCTAGAACTTCCACTGCTTTCTCAAGGCCAACTGCACCAGCCTTACCAAGAAATGAGCTCACTTGAGGTGCCTGTCGCAATAACAAGCAGCTTGCTTTAAAATAATAACAGCAGCATCTTCTAAACCAATAAAAGAATTCTTTCCAGTTATTCTTTTGAAAGGAGCAAAGAAGGATATATTAAAACTAAAAGGAGTTCAAAATACCAGTTGTTTGAATAGCAATGTAGCTACGAAACATATCCATCAGGCAAAGGAAAATGTCAAAAACTAGTGATATTTCAGTCAACAGTGTTATTCTTGCAATCAAAGCATTGAACACAAACATGGATATAAATTGCAAATGCCACACCAATATGGAGTTTTTTTGCAAAAATGGGATGATCATATCATTAATGCAAAACAATAGTTAATGTTCACAAGTCAAAGATCGATATACCTCTAAACTACATTATACAGTATAAAAGCATAAGTCATAGTTCATGAAGAAAATGATGTCATATTCCAGCAGTCACGTGCCTTTTGATTTTTGTTATTGTTTGTTCTACTCTAGCAACCTCAGCAAAAGTAGTTAACAACGAGGTTGTTTGTGAACATGGGCTTGAACTGCCCAAGTTAACAAGTATCACAGTGATAATTAGCTACTGGAACAAGCTCCTTCAAGAATTGTGAAGCATGCTACTTTTTTTGGGTAAATTCCATCGGGTCCCCGACATTGGGATCAGTTGTCAACAAAGCCCACTTCTACTCGTTTCCACAATTTATTTTAGTTCTACCATTTGATCGAACTTCTAAAATTGCTATTTCTATGAAAAGAACTTCGTATTTCTTCACTTATAGTCATGTAAACATGTAGCATGCCACCGTAATATTCAACTCCCCAATAAGCAATTTATCTATTTAAAAACACTTCTTTGGAACCTTCAATTTTACTTTGTTTCCCTAGTGACGAGCGAAAACAAAAATTGAATCGCCATTCTCTATGATATACATAACTCTAATTAAATTCCATGCTTCATTCCACAGAAATCTATCCATGCGGAAATCCAGTTCTTCTTCCACTGATCTTTATTTCATGATGAAGCTCAGCGGAGCACCCATTTCCATAAGATTCCCATCGATCAAACTAATATACTACTTCACGAGAGAGAGATAGAGAGAACAAAATGCAGATGCACAAAAGCATAAGCACATCTTGTACATTGTTTGATACCTTATTAGCGAGTTTTCTAGCAGGGGTTGATGGCTTCAATTCCTGGGAGATTGAAAAGTTCAATTCACCAGAATCATATAGATTGCCTGGCTCCTTCGTGAAAGCATCCGTATTATCAGGATATGTCGTAGAATTATCATTCTTCAGCTTCCCAAAACTCCCAATTGACTTCAGCTTCCCTGAAAACCCTGAAGTCTTATCATGCTCAACCTCAGTTGACTTGCAGCTCTTAATTGTCCCTCCAGAACATACTCCACCCATGTCACTCTTATTCAAAAAATTGTAACAAAAAACGTTAAAAAATCAGTATCAAAATTCAAATAAACGGCAGTTAAGTACAAGAATTGCACAACTAAAATATTACAAAATTAAATAAAACTAAAAGAGGAAGAAGAAGAAAGGAAAAGAATTCTTCACTCAGATAAAAATAAAATAAAATAAAATAAAAATTTGGACTGCATTATTGAAGTGCTTACCAATTGAAAAGGGGGATTGGAAAAATGGGAAAGTGGGAGAAGAGTATATAGCGGGTAATAATAATGATAAGACCACCTAATTTTGTGCAGAAAATCTTGTGGCAATTTGGTCTTGGAGAATCTATTTATTTATTTTTTTAATTTATCAAATTTCGATTTCAAGAAATTGATGAAGAAAATGAGAATGATGACAATAAACACGGGTAGAAGAGTAGTGGGTTCTTGACTTTTCCTCCTCTTTCTCTTTATTTCCCTTTCTTTTCCCCCCTGTAGTCTTTTTCAGTTGTCTTGGTAGGGAAGAAGGGTCTACTCTGAAAGTAGGGAATGGTTGGACAGGAGTAGGAGTGGGGGCGGCGACTGAAGTCAGCCGTAGAATGGTGTCGAGGAATCAACGTCAGTCATCGGAGAATTTAGTTAACAAAGTTTTATTTTAAAACTTTTTTGAGGGTTGACCATATGATTAAACTTTTTTGTCTTGGTTTGACCAGATCCATCTCAAAGTGCGTCCCTCGAGCTAGTGGCGTGATGGAATAGTGAAGTTAATCCTTATTACAAAATATGAGTTCAATGAATCTTTGTTATAATTATCATTGGGATGGCTGTTAAATTATTTTTGTTATTCAGGATAGTCGTGTATTTTTATTTTTATTTTTATTTTTGGCTCGATACAGTGTAAGACAAATTAAGCTTGAAAATACTATCAAGAGATGTCTGATTATTTGTGTGACGCTAGTTGAGTTAAGCTTTGCTTTTTTTTCCCCTCACAAAATATTTATAACTCAAAAATATTAAAAGATAGATCAGTCTTGACATTTTTTGCTTGTAAAACGATTTAGGCTTGAAAAAAACCATCAAGATATGTAGTTTTTATGATCTATTTGACACTAATTGAGTTGAGCCTCGAGCCTCGTATTTTTTACACGTAACATTTATAAATAAATAATATAATTATGATAGTATCAATCTAAACTACTTTTAAAGTAGGTCGGCATTATAAGCTCAATACATACGGGTTCATTCATAAAAGAACTAGCGACTTTTAAATCATTCACATGTTCTAATTATTCATGTTATGGACGTAGAGTGTCGAACAAATTCATTAGGACTTTTGAGGTTGAATTTCAAACTCCTACAATATAATACGGCTAGTTATCTATTCGTGTTAATTGACAAAATAATTTCTTATTATTGATGCTCTCACGTGGTTTGAAAATTTTGACTAAAGTACATCGTACACAATTTGTGTTGACTATCATTTACAACTAAATTAATATGTATAACAAGCGTTATATGTATAGATTGAAATTTCGAAGTGATGGTTTCTTAGAAATGAAAGAATCACAATTGTCCTTTCTTTGTTTCTTTCATCCAACGTTTTTTCTTTTTCAGAATTAAATTTATTGACATATAGTTTCAGTGTCGTACACGTTCAAATCGCTTTAGAAAAAGAAAGTTAACCTAAGCCCGAATTGATTACTTTTTTTGAGCCTTGTTTGTTTCTCATTTTTTTTTTAAAAAATGAGAATAAAAAATATAGTCGTTACGAGCTCCACACAAGAAATGGAAATTCAAATTTGGTGGCTTGGTGTGATGAATAACGATTATATTTTTCATTTTAATGAGGAAAGAATAAGAACCAAACAAGGGCTAAGTGTTAGGGCAAACAACAAACAAATATTGAGCCATATTTTCCCATCAAAATGTATTTTTATACAGTGATTTAATATTATTTTAATCACACATTCTTCATATGCAAATCCAATTTTTTTTTAACCACACATTATCCATCATAACACTATTACAAAATACACATTTTGGAAAAAAATAATAATAATAATGTAGCTCAAACAAGTTATGAGTTAGATTACATAACTTTAAAGTAAATTCATATTTACATTTTCTAATTTGTTTAATACGCTTCGAATTTTGAAAAGTTTCATTTTTATTTCAACAATAAAGTAAAGACTACTTTAAAATAAGTAACTCATTTATTTTTAACCTTTATCGATGAAAATATTATTCATACATATTAATATGTACTTATTTGCTAACTTATAAGTAAAATTCATAATCCTAGAAAAAAGTAAACATTAGTAAGTCTTGTAAGTTATGCTTAAAGTCCAAACAACTTTTAATTAGACAGATTTGGCCCTAGAATCATGGTATAATTAAATTCTAGTACAATTTTGACTAAACATACAAGGTTGCACACTAAAGTACAAGAAAAAATCATATGCCATGGAATCGTTGACTATGAAAAAATGAAGAAAATAATCCTATGATTTGCTATCTTGACCATTTCATATAAGTAGGTATTATTACAAAAACTACTACTGATGAGATCAAATGTGATAATTAACTCTCGTAGTTGGTCGTTATCACTGACGATCATCTTTACTATTGTTCGCCACAACCATTTTATGTGATTCTGTAAATAATTACTACAATAAATAATTTCTTAATATATTAAATAACAAAATAATGCTACTCTTTTACAAGTCAATTTATCATCGAACATTGTCCAAAGCAAAATATCATGTTGACATCAAGAGTTTGAATTTCCCTTCTTATTGTCATTAATAAAGCTATATAAAAAATTAATCACAAGTTATACGGTTAATTAAAATAATGATTACTAAAATTTTGAGTAACTATGTTAATGATCTCTAAAGTAATTTTCTTATACTAATGTCATTGCTAAAAAAAATAACATAAACTCCATGCGACACTAAATGGCGTTATTTAATACGTCAAATCATCAAAACTCATTAAAAAAAACAAAACGTGAGTTTACTATATAATTTAAGTCAAAAAATAATACCAAAACTTTAATATTATTATTATTTTTTTTTTTCACTTAAACATGTATAATACCGAAGTTCCCAACTCCCTAGTTTTGTTGATTTGGAGTAATAAAGAACATTGATTGATGATACGTTGACACTTAATGGTGTTAAAGTAAAATTTAATTTTAACTTTTGGTAGAATAATCATCAGTGTAATAATTAGAAATTTGAGTTACTATTATCGTAAAAAATAACTTTAGTGATTATTGACATAATTACTTCAAACTTGAGTGACTACTGGTGCTATTAACACCAAGTTATAATATTTTTTTATAAATTACTAGTCATTGTCACATGCGTTGCACGAGTTTTGTATTTATTGTATTTTTATTATCGTCAAAATGGTAGATTTTTAAAAAGTTGTCGAAGATTCAAAGTGTTTGGTGAAATCCGATCGTTTGATTCATTACATTATCGTAGGATGTACGAAGATTTCTTTTTCGTTTTTTGTTTTTTCTCGTTTATTTTTCTTTCTTTTTTTAATTTGTTTTGTTCATATTATAAATAATTTTTTTCGATAAAATTCTTTTTAATTCTTTCCTCTTTATGATAAAACTTAATTTTTCCAATTTTAATTAAATAATATTTATATATTCTTTATTTAGTTTTGTAACTTTCTTTTGTTTAATTTGTTTATTATTATTATTATTATTATTATTATTATTATTATTATTATTATTATTATTATTATTATTATGAAAATTGTTTTACAATTTCTTTTTTCTTCACATTATAAATTATTTTTTGTTCGATTTAAAATTCTTTTAATTCTTTTAGTTTTATGATAAAACGTAAATTTTTCAATTTTAATTAAATAATATTTATTTTTAATTTTAATTTTTTCACTTTAATTAAAAAACTTTATAATAACTTTTTTGCCATTTCCTTTTTCTTTATCCATTTTTACTCGCATTTACAATACAAAACGATATTGTTTCCCTATGTTGAATGGCAAAACAACACTGTTTTATTCCATTAATATGATAAAGGATTGAATATATTATATATATAATTATAGAAAAATATTAGTTATTTAATTAATGATAAGTAAATCTTAATTAATGTATGTTATATTCACTCATTACCTTAATGTTTGAGATGAAATTTTAATTTTTTTGAAAAAAAAGGAAAAAATCAAGATAATAACTAAAATCGAGAGTCCAAATCTTAATGATTATCCTTATCAAATCCGTATTTAGATGGTATTCTATCTTGCAAAAATTCAAATGTTAGCATATTGAACAAAAAATAATGGAATAAAACATAATCTCAAAAAATTAAGCGAACCAAATTATAACTATCATTTCACATCAATACTAATAAAATGACCAAATGATTTGACAAATTATATAATATGAACAAAATAAATTAAAAAAATAAAAAAAATAGTTATAGAAAATTTCCAATTTCCTTTTTTATCTCTTTTTACCTACATTTACAGTACAAAACGATATCGTTTCACCATGTTGAATGGCAAAATGATGTTGTTTACTTCATTAATATGATAAAGGATTGAATATATCTTATATATAATTATAGAAAAATATTTAATTATTTAATTAATAATAATTAAATCTTGATCAATGTATGTTATATTTACTCCTTACCTTAATTTTGAGATGATTATTTTTCAAAAATGAAAAAAAAAATCAAGATAATGACTAAAATCGAGAATCATAATCTTAAATATTATCCTTCTCAACTCCGCATCTAGATGGTATTTCATCTTACAAAAATTCAAATGTTAAAACATTGATCAAGAAGTAATGGAATAAAGCATAATCTCAAAAAATTAAACGAACCAAATTGTAACTATCATTTTACACCAATACGAATAAAAAATAATAATAAATCAGTAACAAATTTAAGAACAAAAAAAATTACAGGCGAAAGTAAAAAAAACAAAAAAAATTATTATAAAGTGATGTAGTATGTGAAAATTGAGAGATGTTGCAATGAAGGTGATGGTTGCAGTCAAATGGCGTGTGAAAATCGATAAATAATTGAAGACAACATGACTTGTTTTTGCTCCCATGATTAAACAAAAAAAAAAAAAAAAAGATTTGCTACAGTATGATAAAATGGAAGAATGGAAAATAAAAATTGTAAGAACAAAATACTCAATTGAATGATAAATCACTAAATTTTCGTTGATTTATTTATTTATTTTTTAATAATTGAATGTCAATTTCACTCCTTATATTATTTCCAACCCAAATGATAAATATAAATTAAATATTTCACTACTTATATTAATTCTAAATCAAATGATAAATATTAATTAAATTGGTAATAAGGGTTTTGTTGAAGAAAATTAAAAACTATAATGAAAAAAATCAATTGAATGTTAGTCATTGAATTTTCGTGTATAATTTCTTTTTTTTTATTCATTAAATGTCCTCATTAATATATTAATGCAACCTTTAAAATATTTATAATCTCAACTAAATAATAACTTAATGGATAAATTATAATGTAAAGCATGAAAATTAAAAATTGCTCCGTTGAGGTAAAATAAAAACTCATTGCATGAATTATAATGTAAACCATGAAGATTAATAAATGTTTT